GTATTTGGGTTCAACATGTAAGAAGTAGAAAGTACAGGTATTTGTGTTCAACATGTAAGAAGTAGAAAGTACAGGTATTTGTGTTCAACATGTAAGAAGTAGAAAGTACAGGTATTTGTGTTCAACATAGTAAGAAGTAGAAAGTACAGGTATTTGTGTTCAACATGTAAGAAGTAGAAAGTACAGGTATTTGTGTTCAACATGTAAGAAGTAGAAAGTACAGGTATTTGTGTTCAACATGTAAGAAGTAGAAAGTACAGGTATTTGTGTTCAACATGTAAGAAGTAGAAAGTACAGGTATTTGAGTTCAACATGTAAGAAGTAGAAAGTCGTCAGAAAAATAAGTAGTGGAGTAAAGTACTGATACCAGAAACATGTACTTAAGTACAGTAACAAAGTATTTGTACTCCACTACTTCCTTCCTTTTAAATACATCACTCATACTGACCGTATTTTCCCATTTCAATACAGACTGTGAATGACTTTCCTACCTTTCTCTCCTGTGCAGCTCCTGAAGGGCGTGGGAACAAAGTGCTGGGCTCCAGACGCAGAATACGCCCTTCACTCCGTCTATCAGGGAGGACTGTTTGAGCTGAGAGCCGGCGACGAACTCTTCGTTTCCGTCTCTTCCCCGACTATGGTCAACGCTGACGACTCCTCCAGCTACTTCGGCGCCTTTCGCCTCGACCTCTGAGGAAAGGACGAAAGAAAGAGATGGATTAAAGGGGTGGAGACAATGAGTGAGGGGCCTTTTCTGAACGTCTGTCGATTGGAAAAAGTGTCATTTTGGGATGATGGATCCTCAAGGTTTGCTCGCACGGATACACTGAAGGTTTCGCTTGAGTAGAAAAAAAAGGAAAAGAAAGTCCTCGTTACTCTCCCTTAAGCCAAACTGAACTTTCGAGACTAAGATATACAAAGATACGTGTGCAATCACGCGAAAACACGTTAAGAACATGGCTTTTCTGTTGATTCCAGGAAATCTCCTTTTGGATGTCAGAAAAGAACCCCAAGAAAAATCTTACTAGCCCAAAGAATTCGACCACCTAAAATAACACAGGGGGGAAGCAATCGACCCCTCGGAGACCGAAGAATGTACACACAATAAAAACTCAATCCTCTGCGTCGGAGATGTGAAGAAGGACTACGGAGTGACAGCAGAAGGAAGTCAAATGACCAAAGCAAAGACAAATGTGGAATTTTTTTTTTAAGCGTGCCATGAGAGTTCTGTACATATGAGAATGAGGTTTATACAATGAGCTGTGGTGATTTTAATTCATGTGTATTTGACGTTGACTGGACTTCAAACCACTTTGATTGTGTGGAGGACTTTCTACACCACGAGTGGATTTTATGCAGACATTTTTAGGAGGAGGATAGCGGATTGTTTTCTTTGATACAGTAAGAGGACTGTAAGAAACAACATGGAGTGCCTTTTGGGACAGTCTGTGTAAGACCTGTTGTTAAAGGACTGAAGAATGAGCCCAGCAGAAGATGAAAGGGGAGAAATCTCTCTTTTCTTGTAAAGAATTTTAAATATCTCGTCTTTCTCGTCTACCTTGTGAAGCTGCATTCAGTTTAGTTAAGCAACCAAAACCAAACCAAAAACGCACACACTATGGGAACAGGATAAGAGAAATATGCAAATACACTAGTTGCACAAACACGTTCGTTAGCGTAGTTTAGGTTTTCAGATCAAAAGAAAAGGTTTCATTCAACACTTGTTTTAACTTTAGTGGAACAGCCATGTTTCTACTTGGAGGTCGGAGCTGCTTTGCATTGAAATATCCTCACTGAAATGTTATAAAAAATAACTTGAGTTAAAAGTTTGGACCTGCAAATAACTCGAATATATCAAATGTTTCCACTATTATTTAAAAAAGTCCTGTTTAGAATTAAAATATTTCATTTTTTTCACTTTTTGTGCTAAGCTAAGCTAGCCGTCTCCTGGCTGCAGCTTCATATTTAACACAGATTTCTGAATTCGGTATCAAACTCATTTAATTCTAAGCAAAATAGCATCTTAAGTGTCAAACTGTTCCCTAAACATGCAACCAGCCACTTGTGAGTTTCCAAACAGAAACAGTAAGTGAAGTGCTAACAAGAAATAAAGTCATTTTGGGTTTTTATGAAGTCAAATTGGACTTTCAGACACACTTCCAGCTGTTGACCAACAAATGAAAACCAGTCTTTTGGAAAACACTGATTCATTCACAAGTACACATGCAAACATTTTGCCTCATTCTGAACGGAAACACACAATAAAAGCACCAAACAGTTCAGCAAGCAAACACAGAAAGGTGCATTTTGGGGAAAACACAGATTCAGTAATAAGACGCAGACGCATATAAAAGATTTGTGAGCAGTGAGAGAGGCGGTGCAGACACAAACCATGCACCGACTAGCACAGACCCAACCCTCCACGCCTCCTTTCTGGCACCAACATGTACACACACACACACACACACACACACACACACACAC